CCTTCTTAAAGAGAGAATATGAATCAAATTTTTCTCTCTAGTAATATCATTGCCATACTTGTAAAAATAATGTTTAAAAAGTTCCTATTTTCCTTTCATTTATCAGTTAAAATGTCACTGTTTTTTTAATGTATCTCAATACATCATTGCCATGTATTTACTGTACTCTTTTCATTTATAGCCAGATGATAAAATGGCCATTTATAAAACACAGTTATATTTAAATTAATCAGAAACATTACATTAGTGAGAGAAACAAGCGTTTTTATAGAACTTGCCCTTGTTGCCATATCAAAGGAGAATTCATGATTGTTTATAACTTTCAGAAGAATTGCATTATGGTTTGTAAATCAGCATGAATATAGCTATGAAAGACTTAAATGTTGGCCATTTGCCCTTAGAGAACTTTTAGTGGTTTGCAATCTAGACCTACTTTCACCTAATTTTTGAGTTTGAATTTTCAATAAATTATAGAGAAAGAACCCATCCCACACCTTGGCTTGTGGTTCTGTTATTCTATTGTGTGGACACATTTGAGGAAAGAAAGTCTTTCATTAACTAACTTCATAATTTGAGGGGCTCTATTATAGAGTACACAGTCTTTGTATTTCAAGTGGTGGTTTGCTTTCAAGCCCTACCGTGTGTATTCAGAAACCTTATGTTTGGTAATACGTCAGTAAATTATGGACAATTTAACATATATATCCTCTCATTTAAGAAAGGCAAGCCCAATTACAGACGCAGGCTTTGCTTCCCCTGAATCTTTACCTTTCCCTCTCTTTAAATGAACCTCAACTTATGGAGTTCTTTCAAGTTCACACAGTAATCTTTATGTTCACATGATGTTAATAAGCCTCATAATAAGGGTTATTGTACCAAAACCTTTAGAGTCAGAACTCACAAACAGACTGACTTCTTGTATATAAACTTTGTAAAACTGGCTTTAATAGGTTTACTTCCATGTCGCTCCCCTATAATTTGCCAAGTCCTCTATAAAAGGCCTCCCCCTCCGCAATACCTTTAGCCCAGTGTTGTAATAACTGCTCACCATCATTGTACCCTTGTTGCTTCTCTCCTCCACAAATTGCTCTGCTGTGAAATTCAGTTATTAGAAAAGAGTCTTAGCACAGAAAACAAAAATATTAATACTAGAAACACGGATAATATCAATTCTGAATTGATGGTCCTGTGATTCAAGAAATGAGTCTCCCCTTGGCAGAAGTAGAGAAGCACTCAAAATGCCTCACAATCTCTATGAAATATGAGAGGAAGAGGAATGCTGACAATCCAAGCCAGAAAGAGCTTTTACTCAAATTATTCAGATCTTTCAAGTAGAACACAGAGCTAACTTTTTTTATGTGTGTAGTTATGGGGTGGGTAGTGGGAGATGCGCTTCTAGTATTTAATCCAAGTAATAGCAACTTTTTGCTTAATTTGATATGCTCTGATTCTTTGATAGCACTATTGTTATTCATTTTTAATCTAAAAAGATGAATAGTCTGACCTCTAGGCTTCTGAAGAAATGAAGAATTTTATTTGGAATTAAAATTGTGTGATTTAATATCTGTTGCTTTTCTTGTTTGTATGAAGACAAAGAACTGAATATAAGCATTACCAGTTCCTCACAGCTGAGTTAGTCAATCTTGTGATTTTAAAACAATGGTAAAGGAATTCCCTAGTGGTCCAGTGGTTAAGACTCCATGCTTCCCCTGCAGGGGGTATGGGTTGGATTACTGGCCAGGGAACTAAGATCCTCTTGCCATGGAGTGCAGCCAAAAATAGAGAAAGAAAATGATGGTAAGCAGCTGCATCTTTACATCATAGAATATGGAGAGCATATTGCATACCATAGTCGTCTGTAGCAGTAAAAGCATCTATGGCAAACTCTCCTGTATTCTTGTGCAGTATACTCTGTATGGAGACTATATGTGTAAATGTTTATAAGCATCACTATGACTGTAGCCCACCAGGCTCCTCTGTCCACAGTGTTCTCCAGGCAAGTACTAGAGTGGGTAGCATCCCCTTCGCCAGGGGTCTTCCCCACCAGGGATCAAATCTGCATCTCCTGCAATGCAGGCAGCTTCTTTACCATCTTAGCCACCTGGGAAGCCCAATCTACACCTACTTTCAATGAATTTTTTATACTTTTGTTTCTATAAAACTTAATAAAAGTGTTTTGATTTAGAAGTTGAGAAAAACAACTCAGCCCTAAGACTTGGTTGAACCTCAGTCAGTGGAATCAGATCCAGAGCCGTGGGACTGCTTTCATGCTTCTAAAGCCTGCATCACTAAGTGTATTATTACAAATGTTATTACAACCTGACTAGTTCCTGCACTAGTATCTCATATGTCTCCATCCTCAAACACAAACTTCTCTGTGACAGTACTGATTGTCCAAGGGCCCATGCATTTTTGTTACAATCCCTGAAAACTAAACTCACTTTTATAAAGCATTAATTTCTGCAGATCTAGCTTACTTTGATTTTGAATGTGTTAGTTGCTCAGTCATGTCCAACTCTTTGCAATCTCATGGATTGTAGCCCACCAGAGTCTTCTGTCATGGAACTTACCAGGCAGAATACTGGAGTGGGTCACCATTCCCTTCTCCAGGGTATCTTCCTCACGCAGGGATTGAACCCGGGTCTCCTGCATTGCAGGCAAATTCTTTTTCAAGTGAGCCACCAGGGGAGTCCCACTTTGATTTTAAATTTGCTCTATTTTTAGCTTATCAAATGATAAAATATATTTTTAACTTTTAAATTCCTTCTTATGCAGATCTTGAGCAGAAGCTTTCTCTCTTAGACTCAGTGGAATCCCAAGTTCTTAGCATTTCAGTGCCTCTCTTAGCTTGAGTCCTTTTCCCTTTCAATTATCTCCTTGACCAGTTTCATCTCCCACTAACCATTTCTCTATTGTAAATGAATTCTTTTTCTCGGGCTGATATTTCTCTGAATCCAGCTCACCAGCCAACTGTGTTTGGGTTTCCTAAAAAACCTGTCGGATATAACTGAATTCAAGTCTGACTTTCTTATTTATCCTTGCAGCTTCTAATCAGTTGGACTTCCCTGCTAATCAGTTTTTTCTCAGTTGGTCTCCTTTAACTTTGACACCATGCGTTTTCATCTGAGGTTTTCACAAGGCTATGTGCTCTCTAGAGCAAGTGCAGTTTTCTTACCCAGTAGAGAAAATGAGAAATAAAAATGGAAATTTCATTATGGAAAATGTATTCTTTCCAGTGATTTTGAAGTATCTATACTGGATTAATATCTGTCTGGTTGATATCTGAACCATATTTTTGCCATTAACGTTTATCTGTAATATATGGTAATATTGGAGGAAAAAAGGGAGCACAAGGAAGAATCAAATTTAAGTATATTAAGTATATTTAAGTATATTCATTCAACATAAAATGAAAAATGTCATTTAGTGAATATACATTATAATATAATTATCAGAAACAGGTTAATACATTACATGGGAATTTTGTTCAGTTTGTCTTCAGTCATTGTTCATGTTAATTAATAGTCTTACAGATATGTGCCTGATTACTTATGATTTAATCTTTTATGATTGATTATATTTTCTATTATGAATTGATCATTTGACTTTGAGGTTTCCCCAGTGGCATAGCAGTAAATAATCCACCTGCAATGCAGGAGACACAGGAGATGTAGGTTCAAGCCCTGAGTTGGGAGGAGGAAATAGCAACCTACTCCTGTATTCTTGCCAGGAAAATCCCATGGAAAAATCCCATTGACAAAGGAGGCTGGCAGGCTACAGTCCATGGGGTCACAACGAGTCAGACACGACTGAGCGAGTGAACACATTTGAGTGCACATTTGACTTTAAATTATGTAAACCAGACATAACTTGCTTTTGATTCTTCATCAAGGCATTGCCATGTCTACATTTTAATTTTTACTCTGTTTAGCAAAAGCAGTAAGGATAAAGGCAACTATGGAATTTTATTAGTTCCACCAAACGTATTTGTAAAGATGCAAAATTTTGAAATCTGCAGATGTATTTAAAACCTTCTGGCAAATTAAAAGGACTGTTATGACCCAGGGAATATTTCTAATAAAATTTTATGTGCCTGTACTTTTTCAGATTCTTTCTTCTCCTTTGTGTTGTATTGTATCCAGAGCTGGTATGGTAAATACTCAAGAAGAAATTCAGAGAGAAATATGAGAGATGACAGGCTTCAAGCTAGCATTAAAATAATTTGATTTGATTTGCGATTATCAAGCAAATGATCCACTTTTACAACCGTCGGCTGAGTGACACTTCTTTGACAGGACTCAAGCACCTTATACTGGAGATCAGACTTCTAAATGTTGAATTCCATATCTCCACTAAATTCTATTGCACTCATCTATTTATTAATTGATTGATATTGAATATTTTATTGTGGTTTATGTATAAGAGGTTGGAGCAAGTCAGTCTGAGGTTCAAAGAGAATATTAGTTTCAATGACTTATTCACAAGTAATATTTACAATGCAGGACTATGGATGATGCAGCATCCCTCTCTTCTGTGGATTTCTGGTACAACATGAGGTTTGCTGGGAGTGGGTGTATTATGATTTTAAACATCCTAACATTCAAGTACAAGATATAGATCATTAAATGCACAGCTTTCATTAGAGTAGACAAAATATTTGGGATGCATTCAGTAAAGATGTTTTATTTAAATCCTTTTTATTCTTGAATATTGAAAAAATGAAAGAAAAATATTTTATTTTCTACTTTGTGAATGTAAGTATCATGAAAGGAACTACTAACTTTCTTCTTTGAAAGTTATTGCATCTGGGTAAAAGGTTAAAATAGAGATGAAGAAGACAATTGCCCACAAATCATTTTCCACTTATGTATAGCTATTACACTTTTTAGATATTTCATGGAAAGATTAATTCAGTGATACTGTTCCATTAAACTTTATAATAGTTTGATTTGTTTTACTTATTAAAATGTATTAATCATAGACATTTTTTTTTCTTTTAGCAATGGTTGTTTTAAGCAACCTGGAACCAAATACAACTTATGAAATCAGGGTTGCAGCTGTAAATGGAAAAGGACAAGGAGACTATAGTAAAATAGAAATTTTCCAAACATTACCAGTCCGTAAGTAATTTGTGTTTTGCTCTCTGTTGTCATTCTCTTCCTTGCAAACTTAAATGGGATACTAAAATGCAGGGAGACATTTCAACACTATGAGAAAGTGAATTATGTCTTTGTTGAAGTGGTTGCTGATGATGGTGGCATCTCAGACTTACAAAAAATAACTTTGTTATGAAGCAAGGGGGAAAAAGTGCACTTCAATATATAGAGTAAATTTGTTCCAATCAGGAAAGTGTCTTACTTTTTCAATTAGACTGTAGTGCTCAGACTGTATTCAAAGAGAGAGTAGAAAAGTATCTGTGCAACAAATTTAACAGTCTAGATTTTGCTGAAGCATGACCATTGCCTGTATTCCATGGATTACATACACCCTAAGTGTGAGAAAAAGGCACCACTAAATTAATTCATTGCAATGGTGACTACAAAAGAAGAATAACTGCTGAAGCCCCCTTCTCATTACTATCCTGTTTTTGAGTGTTTAACTGCATTTACATAAAGTTAGATAATTTTAAAATAGTATAGATTTCCTTTATGTTGAATAAATTGTTAAAAAATATGAGAAAATTAAGTGTGACAGAGCAAACACCATTATATAATCTATGCATCAGTTCAGTTCAGTTGCTCAGTTGTGTTCGACTCTTTGTGACCCCTGGGACTGCTGTACGTGAAGCTTCCCTGTCCATCACCAACTCCAGGAGCTTACTCAAGCTTGTGTTCATAGAGGCGGTGATGCCATCCAACCATCTCATCCTCTGTCGTCCCCTTCTTCACCTGCCTTCAATCTTTCCCAGCCTCAGGATCTTTACCAGTGAGTTAGTTCTTCACATCAGGTGGCCAAAGTATTGGAGTTTCAGCTTCAGCATCGGTCCTTCCAATGAACATTCAGGACTGATTTCTTTTAGGATGGACTGGTTGGATCTCCTTGCAGCCCAAGGAACTCTCAAGAGTCTTTTCCAACATCACAGTTCAAAAGCATCAATTCTTCTCACATCCATACATGACTACTGGAAAAAAATCATGGCTTTGACTAGATGGACCTTTGCTGGCAATGTAATGTCTCTGCTTTTTAAAATGCTATCTAGGTTGGTCATAGCTTTTCTTCCAAGGAACAAGTGTCTTTTAATTTCATGGCTGCAATCACCATCTGCAGTGACCTTGGAGCCCCCAAAATAAGGTCTCTCACTGTTTTCATTGTTTCCCCATGAAGTGATGGGACCAGATGCCATGATCTTAGTTTTCTGAATGTTGAGTTTTAAGCCAACTTTTTCACTCTCCTTTTTCACTTTCACCGAGAGGCTCTTTAGTTCTTCTTCACTTTCTGGCATAAGGCTTGTATCATCTGCATATCTGAGTTTATTGATATTTCTCCCAGCAATCTTGATTCCAGCTTGTGCTCCATCCAGTCCAGCATTTCTCATGATGTACTCTGCATATAAGTTAAATAATCAGGGTGACAATATACAGTCTAGGCATACTCCTTTCTCAATTTAGAACCAGTCCGTTGTTCCATGTCCAGCTCTAACTCTTGCTTCTTGACCTGTATAGAGATTTCAAAGGAGGCAGTTCAGGTAGTCTGGTATTCCCATCTCTTTAAGAATTTTCCACAGTTAGTTGTGATCCACATGGTCAAAGGACTTCGTGTAGTTAATAAAGCATAAGTAGATGTTTTTCTGGAAATCTCTCACTTTTTTGATGATCCAGCAGATGTTGGCAATTTGATCCCTGGTTCCTCTGCCATTTCTAAAACCAGCTTGAACATCTGGAAGTTCCAGGTTCACTTACTGTTGAAGCCTGGCTTGGAGAATTTGAGCATTACTTTGCTAGCGTGTGAGATGAGTGCAATTTTGTGGTAGTTTGAACTTTCTTTGGCATTGCCTTTCTTTGGGATTGGAATGAAAACAGACCTTTCCAGTCCTATGGCCACTGCTGAGTTTTCCAAATTTGCTGGCATATTGAGTCCAGCACTTTCACAGCATCATCTTTTAGGATTTGGAACTTCATCACCTCCACTAGCTTTGTTCGAATTCATGTTTCCCCAGGCCTACTTGACTTCACATTCCATGATGTCTGGTTCTAGTTGAGTGATCACACCATCATGGTTATCTGTGTCATGAAGATCTTTTTCGTATAGTCCTTCTGTGTATTCTTGCCCCCTCTTCTTTATATCTCCTGCTTCTGTTAGGTCTATACCATTTCTGTCCTTTATTATGCCCATTTTTTCATGAAAAGTTCCCTTGGTATCTCTAATTTTCTTGAAGAGATCTCTAGTTTTTCCCATTCTATTGTGTTCCTCTATTTCTTGCACTGATCAGTGAAGAAGGCTTTCTTATCTCTCTGTGCTATTCTTTGGAACTCTGCATTCAAATGGGTATATCTTTCCTTTTCTCCTTTGCCTTTTGCTTCTCTTCTTTTTCAGCTATTGGTAAGGCCTCCTCAACAACCATTTTGCCTTTTTGCATTTCTTTTTCTTGGGGATGGTCTTTTCCCTGCCTCCTGCACAGTGTCACTATCCTCCATCCATAGTTCCTCAGGCACTCTATCAGATCTAATCCCTTGTATTTATTTGTCACTTCTACTGTATGATCATAAGGTGTTTGATTTAGGTCATACCTGAATGATCTAGTGGTTTTCCCTACTTTCTTCAATTTAAGTCTGAATTTGGCAATAAGGAGTTCATGATCTGAGCCACAGTCAGCTCCTGGTCTTGTTTTTGCAGACTATATAGAACTTCTTCATCTTTGGCTGCAAAGAATATAACCAATCTGATTTTGGTGTTGACCATCAGGTGATGTCCATGTGTAGAGTCTTCTCTTGTGTTATTGCAAGAGAGTGTTTGGTATGACAATCTATGACATGCTCTGCCTATTATATACTTATGTTAGGGAAGTCAAATTGACTGTAATAATTGTCTTAATTTATGACCAAGTCTTCTTTGTTGGTTATCATAAAATGTCAGATATGTTGTCTATTTTCCACTCCTGATGCCAGAGTCTTTCTCAGTGTCTCTTTTTCACCAGGATCACTGCAAATGGATCTTGATTGAAAACCCCACTTCCTGATTAAAATGACCCTGGAATGACTTAACCTCATTTAAATAGAGAGCTATCCTTTCTCTGTTTATAATGCTCAGCAAGACAACTTTTCATATTTAGTCTTTCTCATATTATCTTATTGAATCCTTTTAAGATGTTATTGTATATTTTTTTACAGAAGTTTGAATTTATATACAGAAAACATAGTATGTTAACAGCATATAAATCATCTCATGTCATAATATATTCACACTAATGCTAATACTCTTCCACTTCTGTGGATCTCTGTTCATATTAAACATATTATATTTATCATAAGACCGTCTTCATGTGAAGAATAACACCAAAGTTAGTATTTTCATGAAGTGAGAATTAAAAAAAAATGTTGAAACCCAAGTATAGTTTGGATACTATAAAATTTCTTTATTCAAATTTATATCTAGCTTTAAAACGTCCATTAAAGGAGATGACGAATTGCTAATCTATTATATTTCCTGGTAGGTATATATTTTAGATAGCTTGATAACTTAATATATTTATATTAATACATATTTACAAATGTTTGCAAAATAAATTTATACTAGAAAAACAAATGATAGCTATCAAATGATGCTATCAATACAAGAAATAAAGCTTAAGGCTTGTATAATGCAGTAAGTTCTATTTTTAGAGCATTTGCCCATCAGTATAAACGGTATATATGATTCTGAGATTTCACAATTTTGGCATGATACTTCTAGATTTGTGAATGTTGCTTTTCTTGGATGGATAAATAGAGGGCCAAAAGTTATATCACAGCAAAGGACAAATAGAAAATGGTAAAAACAGGATGATGTTATACATTTTGTTATATGTATTTTTTTATTAAAATGCAGTATCTCTACATCTATGAAGTGTGTGCAAGTATCAAGAATGTTCTATTGCTTATTAGGTGAACCGAGTCCTCCGTCCATACATGGACAGCCAAGCAGTGGGAAGAGCTTTAAGCTGAGTATCACCAAACAGGATGATGGTGGAGCCCCTATTTTAGAATACATTGTGAAATATAGAAGTGTAAGTACCCTGCTTATTATCATTTTGCACAGTGTTTTCAACTTGCATTAAATTTGCATTAATACATAGATACATCAGAAGTAAATGCATATTAAATACATTGTTGTTAAACAATATAAACAGTTCTCATAGGAATTCAAATGCTAATTTTTCATTGCTGAAATTCATCATTATGTATTATAGAATGTTTGCTTGTTTTCGTAAAACCTAACCATAGATAATCAAAATAACATGGTGTTCATGTTGTGGTTTCTAAATTGCATGTTGTTCATTTCTTGCCATGGTATTCATCTTGTGATTTCTAAACTTAGTGACTTTTCAGAAATGAGATATCATTTTTCCCTTTCTTTCTGAGAAGTTTAGCAGAATATTTCACCTTCCATTCTCCTTGATTTTAGTAACTTCAAACTAAGCTATCTTTTCAATTTTAGTTACTTTAGGTAGGATTAAGAAATCATACCTCAAAATTACTTCATAATTAATTTTTATGAATTATTAAATTTTTATTGACTCAAAGTATGTTAGTATTTAAATGGATTGTAAAAAATAAATCACTCTAATCAACACAACAAATAATGGCCACATTTAACTTGAGAAAGAGGGAATAGGTTTCTTCAAGTTTAATTAGCCCTAACTAATATGGGATTTTGTACAACTCAAAGCTGCCATGGGACTTGTCATCTATATAGGGAATGAAGGATCTTTTGTTTTACAGTGATGGAAAAGTCACCTGATAAACTCTACCTTCATCTGAAAAATAACACCAAAGTTCACTAGAGATGACTTCTGTTAACAGTTTTACCATGAGAACTATTGAGTATTTAGTGTGGAATATGTTAAAAGCTGGAACACAATTTTATATTAAATTCTGTGGAGTTTAGTTACTAATGGTTATTATTATCCCTGGCTCAGTGGTAAAGAATCTACCTAAGGCAGGAGATGCAGATTCAATCCCTGGGTCGGGAAATTCCCCTGGAGAAGGAAATGGCAACACACTCCAGTATTCTTGCCTGGAGAATCCCATGGACAGAGGAGCCTGGTAGACTACAGTTCATGGGGTCGCAAAAAGTCAGACATGACTTAATGACTAAACAGCAACATGATTATCCCCATAATAGCATATCAATTCTATTTATTTTTTTCCTTTTCACCCTTTCAAAATTCACTTTAGTGTGTTTAATAAGTTCCCTTAAGCCTATTTCCTTTTCAAATGCATGTGCTATTATTTAATCCATATATGTCTTTTTATATTTATATCACCTACTCATTTATTGTAATTTTTGAAGTGTAACACCAAATTTAAAAGTTTATCTAGCTTCCAGTTGTCATGATGACATTTTTGTATTTGCTTTATGGTGTCAGTGTTATGGTGCCCTTACAAACCAGGTTGAAAATTATCCCCCCTTTTTCATTACATCAGGCATACTTTGGAAATTTAGGTGATTGTATTGTTTTTAATTTAATTTTTCTACCTTCTGTCTTACTGATGTTTATGATTAGCCCCATAATGTCTCAATTTCATGCTTATATTTACTGAACATATTATTACTTTCCAAGTACATTATATTTTAGAAAACAGTACAATTGCTCCTTAATAGTAGGTAGATGAATTTTTAACTGTTTTCCCACAAATCCACACTTTTCTAAGCTATAATAGTGTTACTTTTAAATTCAAACATCTAAATTTTGAAGGGTAGGAAAACAGGGAGTTTAATTTTGAGTGGCTTATGTCAATTTAATTTTAGACCTCAGTTCAACCTTTTAAATTTCTGATTGATATCCCCTTCCCAGGACCTCTCTCTGTTGCAGATTTCATGCTGGGGATGATGAACAGCTATGTGTCTCTTATGGCTAATATGCTATGGAGGCTCCATGCCCCCATTCCAAAACAACTCTGAGTGGCTCACTTGTTTCTCTCTGATTCTGATGGCGTCTTAGTAGTTAAGCCCAGTTTTTTGGTTATTCTTACTTGGCCATCTGGAAACTCTTTGAAAGTGAAACAGTCTCTCTGTAAGGGTCACAGGCTTAAAAGAAATTAGTGGAATTAAACTGAGAGAAAAGAATTTGAATGCAGATTGTGGCCTACCATTGTACCCAGAAGAATTTATGATGCAAAATACAGATGGATGGTAAGAACTTACAGTTAACCTCAGTAAAATCCCATGGTGAACTCAGAAATTCAGTACGTTGTAAAAATATGTTTAAAGTACTCTGTGTATGTATAATTTCTACCTAAAACTAAAAGGTATGTTTGGCTGTCTAAAGAGTTGATATTTGAAAAAGCACAAATGTTTTATTGAGTTTAACCAGAATCATTAATTCCAATTGATGATAGCAAATGTGATTTCAGATTATATCTTTTCTTCATCTATTAGTGGTTTTTTATTACTTAGCATGTATATTTTAGGAATGCTATGATTTTGTTCAGCTATACAGTCAAACATGCAAATTGCTTTTCCCTGTGTTCATTCATCCTTCGCATGCTGGCTTTTGTCTTCATGTAGATTATATTGTATACTGAGATGTTGCCCACACATCTCCATTTAGAACATGAAGAGAGCAAAAGGAAGAAAAGGTGCAACAAAGCTGTTTAAGATGAATTTGTTTTTCCAGCAAACTCTACACAGTTTTCAAAGGCTCCATCAAGCAGAATTAGAATTATGTCTCATTAGATAGAATATGGCTCATGACCATCACTAAATGAAAAATATTGTATCTGGGAGGTGGGTCAGCTCAACATTGGCATCTTCAGCATACTGTTAATTACCTTTCTCATTATAAAGTCTGTATTAATCTGCTAGAGATACCATAACAAAATGATACAGACCAAGAGGCCTTAGCAACACAGATGTGTTTTCTCAAAGTTACAGAGTCTGGAATTCCAAGATCAAGGTGTCAGCAGATTTGTTTCTCCTGAGGCCTATCTCCTTGCCTTGTAGACGGCTCCGTTCTTGTGTCTTCACATGGCCCTTTTTTCCTGCGCACACACATCTCTAGTGTTTCTTCCTCTTTTTATGAAAATATAAGTCCTTTTGGATTAGAACCTCATGTAAGCTTAATTACCTCTATAACGGCTACATCTCCTAATAGAATCGCAAGGGAGGTTAGAACTTTAACATATTAATATGAGGGGGTACACATAATTTAGGCTATAGCAATGCTGTCTGTCATGAATCCTATATATCTAAAAAGACACACTATTGGCACTTTGGGTGCATGACAGTGGGCCATCCAGAACTCAACCACCCATCACAGTATGTGTAGCATCTCCCAACCCCACTTACTCTATTGCAAGTAGTTGAAACCAAAAATGTTCATTATAGTATTACTATATCTGTTTAGAGCCAATAATATTCACAAAATGGAAATAGACATTCAAAGGGAAATATATGTACATAAATTGCCATATAAAATGCTGCCAAAATGTATTGTCCTTTCTTTAATGAAGATTCGAATTAGTTTTGTGAGAAGTAATGTGTGAAACATACATGGACACAAATGACTATGGTATTAAGTATAATAAGACTAGAAAATTTTTAGAGATTCAAATTTACAGCGATCATCAGGATATTTTACCTATACATATAGTTGATGTGACTCAGATTAAGATTTGAACAAGCACAAGTTTGTTTGTTTTATTTTGTTTCTGTCAGTAAATCTTTAGCTTCCATTATTTTACATTTTTCCCCACCTAACCTCCAACCAACCTAGTATTAGCAATGCCCTGCTTTTGCCTACTTACTCAATATGTAAGTTTACTTTGACAATAAAAGAACGTTTTAGTTCTTCCTCAATTCCATCTCATTTCTCATAATGATACCTTTCATCACCATATACTTACTCTTAATTTTCACTATCCAACTGTTTATTACTACCAAAATTCATAGATCTCTTTTTTTTCTTTTTTTTTTCCATTTATTTTTATTAGTTGGAGACTAATTACTTTACAATATTGTAGTGGTTTTTGCCATACATTGACATGAATCAGGCATGGATTTACATGTATTCCCCATCCCGATCCCCCCTCCATAGATCCCTTTTTAAAGATCATAATTGAAATGATTGTTAGCATAATTTTAACAAAGCAATAATTGACTAGTAATCGATTACCAGGCTACTACACTAAAGCCTACCGATATTTTAAGCAGATAACACTGCTTTATTAAGGAAATTGGGCTTTTATGGTAAGATTTGTAAAAGTAATTCGTCACACCCTTTGTATTACAAGGAAGGTATTGCTATTTTTTTTTTTGTATTGCTAGTTTTTAAACCAAAAAAAAAAAAACAGAAAAATATATAATAATATATAAAATGACATTTTTTGACAGTTTTAAAGGGACAAGCTGAAACTTACAGAATTTGAATTACCTAGTCATGAGTGTCAATGGGGAACAAAACATGAATCTATAGTCAGAAACAATTTTGCAACAGTAAGAGCTGAATTTAAATATGCCTGCGGAGATTATATTGACTCCTCAACAACTCTCGTATCTTAACTCAGCCTGCCTATCTACTTTGCCTCCAAATACAGCCATTCTGATTCACTTCATCTTTACCAAATCATTTAGTGGTTTGCCTTGTATAAGTTTCCCAGGTGACGCAGAGGTAAAGAATCTGCCTGTCAGTGAAGGAGACCTGAGAGATGTAAAGTTTTGGTGCCTGGATTGAGAAGATCCCCTGGAGAAGGAAATGGCAATCCACTCCAGTATTCTTGCCTGGAGAATTCCATGGACAGAGGAGCCTGGCGCACTACAGCCCGTGGAGTTGCAAAGAGTCAGACAGGACTGAGTAATGACTGACCACGCACACATGCCTCGTCCTCCAAAACACTAATATAATCTCCATATCCCTATGTTTTTCTTTCCTTCCCTTTACCACCTCCTCCATCCTGCATACCTCATACTCTGCAGGTTCAATTGCAAATTCCAAAATTCAGTATAAAGTTATATTCATGTGGTTAAACAATATCCCATCTTTGGAAGAAATAATTTTCTCCACAT